CGTAAAGAAAGAAAGAGAAAAAAGAGAGAAAGAGAGAGTGGCAGTATTAATATAAGTAGTAGTGGTAGTAATAGTAGCAGCATCAACAGTAGTAGCACAGATAAAATTTTTGGTGTGTTATTCTTTCCTAATTATTATTTTCTTTACGACACATTTTTGTACTGGATAAGATAGCATATTGAATATTTGCTGCTGGTGATGATAATGGAAACTCTTTTATTTATCTCAAAACTTTAAAAGCAAATGAATAAAATAGATGAAATAAAATAATATTGCGTTAATGAAATTATAAATTATAAAATTAATAAAAGTGTATGTAGACCCCGCAGCTCATTGCGTTGGCAAGTGTAGTGCGGTAAAATATATTTAAAAGTTAGTATCATGGCATGTCTCTATTGCAATAAATATTGTACGAGGATCTTATTACTTCACTTATTAATTTGTCATTGGAAAAAATCAGCCATAAAACTTTAAATAGAGCCATAAAACTTTAAATAAAGCACGATATATAATAATAATAATAATAACAACAATCATCATCATCATCGAAAACATTATAACATCACATGAATATAATATACTTAAAAGATGACGAACATGGTGATTATAAACGATAAACATGATATTTAATAATAATGGTAGTGATGATGATTTTCTGATGATAATGATGTTGTTATTATTACTTTATAATAATAATAATTATTATTATATTATAGCTAGCAGCGTTGAACTTTATAAAAGCAACGCGTTCTTCAATTCGTTCATTCAAGCAGGTCTTACAAGTTGTTGAGTTATGATGACGACGACGACGGTGATAATAATAATAATAATATATTCACACGCACGCACACCACAATCTATTTATAACTGTTGCAATCTATTTATAACTGTTGATTAGCTCTTTCTCGCTGTATAATTATATAGATGGTAATTCAGTTTTTTAATGAAAGTGCGAAAGAGAAAGCAGGAAAATTATGAACGGACTAGTGATCTATAGTGATGCAATTTATTTGTTTACTTTATTTGTTCACCTTTATTAATATTATTATAAGAATTAATAAGAGCAGCAGCAGTAATAGCATAGAAGTAGTGGTGGTTGTATTGTTATCATCAAACTAATTGCATACAAATTGCATGCCGATAAAAATTTTCTAATTTTGTTTCCTCTTTTCAAACAGCTGACAATGCGTGGATATCATGGAAAACGCTGCAGCAGCAACCACAACTAGCGACATTAGCAACCTACAAATCGTATCCAACAAAAGAAAACTGATTCTCCATGTAGATGTTAGAAACACCATAATCGTGGCCGACTCAGTGACCAAAATAAACGTCGAGCAAGCCCTAAACAGCTACCTAACCGGAGTACTTTGGGGACGAGAATCCCAAGGTAAGTGGGAATGGGTTAGTACCGAGCCTAGTCTGACTCGGCCGGAACCGAATACTATCAGCTACTACAAACATTTAGAGAAAAGTCTGGTTAGTAAGCCAGAAGATAGAGGGCGTTTGAGAATGGAGACGGGCGATTTTACGACGGAAGATATCGGGGTCAAGTTCAGAGAGTATTACGAGAAACATCTGGAACTGTTGAAATGGCGACTTAATGATGAGAACGTTCCAGGAAAGATCAACAACTGCATGTGTAAAAAGAAACGTTTAAATCTTAACGGTATAGCCAACAACAACGAAATTAACAGTAAAAACAACAACAGCAGCAACGATGACAAAGGTTTTGGGATCCAGGGCAACAGTTACAAAGACATTTCCTTGCGCTCTAATCCGATGATCATGAACGTTGTTAAAAGCGATCGGATCGACGAATACCACTACATTCTACCTTCATTTGTCAAACTTATTAGTTACCTACTGGAAAACAACAGAAATTTTTCTATTATAATCCGAACGTACGGACAGGACGCGCCAAATGTTTTGTCCAGTATTCGCTACATTTGTCGCCGCGGCAAACACCCAAATTTTCCGCGAAGATCTAAAATTGCAGTCAACACGACGCCTGGTCATTTGACGAGAAGTGATAGTCAACCGTTTTTCAAATTATCTCACTTCGTAAAATTAAAACGAACGAATTCAACAAAGCAAGTATCAAAAAGCATCACTATTCCATCTAAACTACGTTGTGATTCTAGTTCAAATCATTGTAAAAAGATTTTCGATTTTAAATATTATAAATATTTTGCGAAGAAACTCGAGCACTACAAAAAACATTGCCTACATCACGACACAAAGTTGAAGCTTCGACATCTTGTGATAAAAAACGAAAACGACATTTCACAATTTTTTAATAACTCTCGCGGCATCAGTGGCTACGTCGACGATTTTATTTACTGGCAAAAGAATGGCTACAACAGCCACACAGGTAAACCTTTGTGGCTGATCTTGCCGGGTCTCAAAACATACGACGAATTTTTTGGAAATTTCAAAGATATTCATACATCTACTAATATTTCGTCCGGTAACAACGACACTTCTTGCCAAGCCAAAAACGCAAACAATATTTTAGCAGGTAGTCAATCAACTAAAACCGCAAATCGTCACCTAAACTCAGTAGAAACCCATCATCACATATTTTTTGACGATAACATCAGAGTAGATGACGAAGACAACATTGTAGATATCAGATTATTGGATAAGCAAACCAAAAAATGGCGAAGTTTAACAACGGAAGAAATAAAATTTTGTGAAAATATCTTTCTAGTTCAAGCGAGCTTGATGGAAAGCATTGAGAATGAAAATTATTTCATCGACAACGTCAACATGTGCGAGAGGAATCTTGAAAATATACTCCAATTACAGCAACAATTGTGATTTTTTTTATCAATTTTCCATCGTTTTTTTTCAAATTTTGCAGAAAAATTCAAATATTAGTTTATCTAAGCAGTCAAGATCATTTTTCTCAAAGATATCGAGTTAATTTAGCCTAGCCGTGTCATGTCAAAATGAAATCCAAGTTGCTTCTATTGCTTCAACACTGTCCTTAGTTTGTATTATATTCCTATACTTTATTTCACAATTGCCGATGTCTTCGTTCAGGACGATGCAATATTTACTATGTAAACGTGTAATTAGTCGTAAGCTTCGTAACTTTTTTGCTTATACGTATGTAATTTCGATAATTCCTTTGAATGTGACGTAGCGATATTCATTAAACGTAGTATGTTCGTAATGTAGCTATTTTGTAGTCATTGTTACAACAACGATGACGTCATTAATTGCTCTTATAAAGGCTATGACATCGCGTTGATGTACCCTTTCATTCCACAAAAATAAATGATTCATTTTTCAATAAACGTGTCTATCTCCATGGGCTAACAATGAACATTTAATGAAACAAATGAAAAATCGAAAAAAAAAACATTAACCTTCCTCTACAAAAAAAATGAATTTTTTAAAATGGTACATACGTACACACACACACTTACGCACAGAGCATGCTTACATTTATATATGAATTCTTGTCCGTATTACAGAAAAAAACGAAATTTATTAGAAGTCAGATAAAAAATTCTATCAATTGAAAAGAATTCAATTAAATCATCGTCAATGTATCGTTGACAACTAGTATCTTTACGATTAATTATATCTGAGTTTATGCATGAACGTACAATGAATATATATATATATATTCCTCATGAAATATTTGTTAACATTAGTTTCATTTTCTACTGCTATTACGTCGACAAAATCATTCAATTATTTTCAGTATCCTTAATGAGAATCATCAATAACTCATCTCTGCTTCTAAATTCTTCGACCAAGTCTGGGGCTTCTTCCCTCAAAAATTTTAGGGAAATATCGCAAACGGGGAATATATGCAGTAGACCTTTGTAAGGTTTAGCTGATTGATCTTTATCGCCGCCATCTTCCACAATCAACGAAACGACAGCCGCAAATTGTGTCTCCTTCAGGAATGCGCACAACTTACTAAGAGGTAATTCCGAATAAGGGGTTGATTCCGGATCGAAGTTGATTGATGTCGGAACGCCAGCGATGAGAACGCACGATCCGCTACGTCCCACTGAGTTGATTCTTCTCTCAAGTTCTTCCATCGTATGTGGCATATCTAATCTCAGTCTCTGGGTTATTTTTAGAACTTTCTCGTCTGCCGTTTTTGAAGGGTTATCCATCAACCTATGGACCAAACTGATGGCGCCACTAATGAAACGCACGTCGGTCCAGTAACAGCTGGTCTTTAATGTTATGGCACCTCGCCACACTAATGGGTACTTCATGTTCAAATATGATCTTTTCTGAGACTCCTCTTCTTGCATCATTGGTGAAAAATCGATAGGAGAGTATAGGTTGTTATTCTTTAATGAATGAACTGCTGAACTAGTAGGCCTCATGAGAGCTTGCATGTTGATGTTTTGTGATTTTGTAAAAGCCGGTGAAACTCTCGGTATGATGTACTTAATCCTTGTGTTCTGCACTTTTTCCAATTTATTTTCAAGTTCTTTAGCGACACTAACATCAGCATTGAAGTTATGTGCAAATGGTACACCCATTAATGGAGAAATTTTTCTGTTGCCTATGAATGCTTTATCAGGATTAAAATCATAAGTAGTTGAAATTTCATGTTTATTATTGTTGCTGTTACCATCCTCGAAGTTAATATTTTCTTCCTGGAATCCGAAAAAATTTCCAACTTGGTACTGATCAGCCGGTTGATGTTCCGGTGAATATTCATTTCTATCAAGCAGGTTTGTGCGAGATCGATGATGCACTGACTCTCCATATTTTACACTGTCTTTGCTCAGACTACGTTTTTTAGAAGATGGTGGAACATCAACAATTATGGAATCTTCCTTTCTTTTCTTGAAGCTTCTAGAATGATCGCTATCATCATCTCTGATCGAGGAATTACATAAGTCATTCTTGATGGTGCATTTAATACCTCTGTCATTTTTCTTCTCTCTAGGAACATCATCTATGGAATGATAATAATCATCCCTTTTAGATTTCCTGCTAACATGTTTTTCATCATATCTATATTTATCCTCAAACACGGGTGCTTTATCTCTGTATGATCTCTCATCATCATGGTATGATGGATAATACTCTATATCAGGATCTCTAACTGGCCTTTCAGGAAAATCTCTCGAATCTCTGAAGTCATCCTCATCATTTCTTCTGTTGTACATGACGTCATCAAAGTAATCTTTTTCCCTCCTAACATCATCATCTCTATGTTTCTTGACGGGGTAACCATCGAATGGTGATTCTTTGGTGTAATTTTTTCTGTCTCGATTTTCATGATAGACGCCCGATGGTGAGATATCTCTGGATCTATGGTAGTCATCTTCATCATCAGGATGTCTTCTGTAATATTTATCTTCATCATAAATAAGCTGTTGAGGTAGTGCATGTAGTTTATTGGTGTTATATTTGTGGTCATACTCCCTACTGTAGCCAGCTTCATCGTCCTCACTGTTGGAATCACCACCTAAATATGTATCTGAATAATTCAAATCAGATGTCATCAGGCTGTGGTCTGAGTAGTCGAGGTACAACTTTCTTTTGCCTAATCTAGATCCCCAAAGTTTCTCCATTGCCCTTGTCGCACTGTTGACATCAGAAAATTCTACATAGGCAAAATTTTTATTAGTTGGCCATTCTAACCTCTCGATTTCACCAAATTCTTCAAGTTTTTTTCTCAGTAGAATCGGATCAACCCATGGACCCAGCCCACCAATCCATAAATATTTTGATATGATCGACTTGGCAAAGTTACATGTAACTTTGATTCCTAATATCTTTTTGTCTTTCATACATCTAAGAGCTTTTTTAGCCATAAACAGGTTGAAAAACTTGACAAATGCAAAAGTATTAGAAGGACTCTGATTATGAATTATTATTTTATCTACGAAGCCAAATTTTTCAAAAACTAGCAGTAAATCTTTTTTAGAAATATTTCTATTTAAATTTCCAACATATAAAGTCTGACCCGGTCTTCTGCCATCACGAGGAGCATGCGATCTAGAACTACTAGGCTTCTGATCTCGATCATCGTCGGTTAATTTTGAAATCAGTGTATGTACTTCATCAATGAGGTGGGAATATTCACCTTTACCCTCTCCATAATCAGAACGATCGATGGCTACTCTGACAATGTTGCCAAAAAGCTGTAACCCATTATGATACTTCTCGACCATTTCAGCCGCATCTTTGCTACTTTTAAACTCTACAAATGCCAGACGGGTGTTTCTTCGTCTGGGCTTCACAATGGACACTGCAAATGATTTATAATCTTTTGAGAGAAGATTTTCTACCTCTATTTTTACTTCTTTTGGCGAAATAGAAAGATCAATATCACTAATTCTAACAACATTACTTTGTGGAGCCATTTTTAGAATACTGGTGCTCTATTGCAGTGTCTATTCAATGAATATTTTATCTATTTAAGCAAGAATCTTCCTGTTTCAGGTAGTCAGAATCTTGTTAAATCAGGAAAGAAATTCAATTACTAATTAATTATTAATAGTTTTTCTTTTTCTGTTCTCCCACAAGAAAAAAATAAGAAGCTCCTGATAGAAATGTAAATTATTGAATCATCACTAATTTTTCAAACTAAAAATGAGAAGCTTCTGATAGAAATGTAAATTATTGAATCATCACTAATTTTCCGAACTAAGCAATCTCCAAACTTTATTTTCTTGCAACTTTTTTATATTTTTCGAAGAAATTAATTTTAGATAAAATTATTTCTATTTTTTTAATAATTAATTTTTCTTTCTGTCTGTCCAGACAGGCCATAAATTTTATCAATGAGAGTTAAACTTGACGAACATAAAAGTCGACGATTAGACAGAAATATATGATTTTTGGAGCTAATTGAAATTGCAAAATTAGTCCACCACCAAATTAAATCACTAAACAAACAATAACGCGAAGCCAAAGAGCGATGGTGATAATTCGAAAAGAAAAACACAACAGGGAAGCTAGATACGAAGTACATAATTGTAAAACAACGAGAAAACATTTGTTTTAAAATAAATTTTTGTAATTCAATTTTTTAATTTTAAGAAATTAATTTTAATAAATTAACAAAAAGTTTAATTTTTATATATTTTATATATTTATTTTTTAGATAGTTAATAGAATTTTGAAATAATCATTTGCTAAACTCTCAATTGCTTTCCTTGATAACCTCCTTAATTACCGACGATTAAATTACAAATTAGATCAAAAGTTATCAAATATTTCGTAAATTTTAGCTTAATAGTTTTAGGAAAAACATATTTTTAATAAATTATAATTTTTATTCAATAACTCAATTATTTTTCTCAACAAATTTGGCGAAAAAAGTAACATTTTTCCGATCTTACAATCAATGTCGGACTCGGAAAATAAGAAAAAATCCGGAGATGTGATTTATGAAGAAGGTCCGGGGGCTGCCTATCAAACTTTTGTCATCATGGAAGAACTTTTAGATAAGTTAAAACTTCTAAATTACGAAGATGGCTACTGCAAAAGACTCTCTAACAAACCCATTTCAAGGTTTCAAATCTAATCATTAATTTATTTATATTATTTATATTTTTATAATATTATTTTAAGTTCATAAAGTTGTTATTATTGTTATTTTTATTATTTGGTTACTAATCTCAGGCATTTTTTTGCCCTGCCAACAAACCCTGGGGAACAGTTTTATGCCTTTTCAACATTGTCAGCCTGGCTATTGAAGATGTGTGGCAAGTCTTTTGATCAGCCCCAGGAGGTTGGTAGTTTGTTTATAAATTGTTCATGTTATTAATGTTATTGTTGTTGTTATCAATCGATCAATCAATCAATTAATCAACCAATCGATCAAACAGCATGACGACCCAAATGGTATTATTTCCAACATACTTGATGAACTAAGACAGATGGTTAGTAGGATAATTTTTAATTGACTTCCAGCCAAACTTTGAATTCATTTCCCAAACAATCACACCACCATTTATTCAAATCCCTAACTACTCAACCACCAATCAGAATCATAATCCAGATTTTCCGCCTAATCGATTGAAATCAGGTTGTGGAGAGCAGTGTTTGTGGGTCATAGACAGACTGGCCGACGAGGCACTCAAATTTCAAAAATTTTCATGGAAAAGGTTGGTTGGCTAGTTGATTGGTCAATAGCTTGTTTAATTGGCTGATTGACTGTTTGTTTGACGTTTGTTGTTGAGTGGTGTATTATTTAATTGATATTTTATTGATTTATATAACGCAATTTCCGTAGAGTTAAACAGTGCTTTTAAACATTTTACAAATTACAACATAACATACGCATCATGTATATACGCGGGTCATGACGCATTATAAAGACAGAAAGACAGGTGGGAATCGTTTTGCATTTGAATCCGATCACGCAGCAACACTTGACCGGGCTCTCAACCATTTTACCACTAAAAACTAAAAATACCCGCCATAATTCCTTTAGACCAATATACCCACAAGATCATCTGGATGAAGGGAAGGCGATGGATGATGGCGAGGAAGAGGAAGCTGACCTCAACCTCTTCAAAGCCGATAATGAATTAGATTTAGTTCGTCGTTGCTGTTATTATTATTATAATAATTATTATTATTGTTATTTATCGTTGATATTATTATTCTTTAAAGTAATTCATTACAGAAAAAAATTATGAACAACCACCCACATTCACCGAAACAGGCAGATGACGACGACGACGACGACGAACACGCCCTAATTCTAGATCACCTAACTGACAATTTCCAGGCGGCTTCTGGAGATTCTAAAAATATCTCTCAGGGGTTTTCCGGCTCGGAAAATCCTCAACAGATAATGGAAAGTAATACTGATGTTGCTGAATGGAAGATGGAAGTAGAAAGAGTGTTGCCACAGTTGAAAATCACAATAAGGCCAGATAATAAGGTTTGTTGTATACGCTGTGAGCCATGTTGAATGAAGCACTATATAAATTTAACACTTACACACACACATGCGCATCCCTACCTGCACACATGAATAAATTATTGCCATCAACCGTCACAGGATTGGCGGGTACATTTCGAGCAGATGCAGACGTTCAAATCCGGAATGGCCGACAGCCTGAAAGATGTTCAGCAACATCTAGGCAGGCTGACTCACGACATCACCAAGAGTCTGGAGAAGATTAGTAACAGGGAGAAATATTTGAATGGACAGTTGGACGGGAGGCTGCAAGAATATCGCGTTAAACAGGTTGATTGGTTGGTTGCGCTTGGTTGATTGGTTGCTTTTGGTTGGTTGATTGGTTGCTTTTGGTTGGTTGATTGGTTGCGCTTGGTTGGTTGATTGGTTGGTTGATTGGTTGGCTGGCTGAGTGGGGAATAGTTGATTGGCTGATTGGATTATGATTGTTGGGTTGTTTGGCGGGTTAAATGATAGTATCACAATCTATATCAGGTTTGTTGATTGATTGATTGGTTGATTGGCTGGTTGGTTGATTGGTTTGTGGTTGTCGTTGCAATTTCTCCCCAGGATCAACTGAGTGAGATCAAGGAACAGTACAAACTGGCCGGCGCTGGAGTAACAGAGAGAAGCAGGACATTGGCCGAAGTAAGTGCTGATTATGATGGTTGTCTTGATAATGATGTCAATGATGATTTTATTGTTAACGTCCGTGATGATGTGCCGCTAATGATGGTGATGAAGATGATGAGGATGATGACGTTGACCTTCAGATAACCGATGACCTTGAAAGAATAAAACAGGAAATGGAAGAGAGAGGTTCCAGCATGTCAGACGGAAGTATGTGTTGATACTTTCATTTATACCGAGCTATTTAAACGATAAAATATGCAAATTTAATAAACTGTAGCTTGAATAAAATAACGAACAAATGAATAAATTATGCTAACTAGCCCCGCTAGTCCGGATCAAGCAGGCGATGACGCAGATAAAGGAGGAATGCTTGCATATGGATGTTAGGATTGGCGTACTACAGCACATACTACTGCGAGCTAAACTCAAAGAGAGAAACATTCAGAATAGTTTGATGTTAAATCAATCTTCTCTGATTGCTGTGGACGAAGATGACATAATTAATAACGAATTTCAAGGCTATTGATTAATTGGTTTTGATTGATTTGTCTGTAACTGAATTGGTTGATTGATTGAATTACTTAAGAGCTAAATAAATTGATCTGATTGGCTGATTGATTTGATCATCGGTTGACAGATGAAAGGATCTATTGATTGGGCGAATAGTGACTGAATGTTTGAATATTTGGTTTAACATTTTTATTTTATTTTAAATATATGAATTAAATAACTGGTAATAAATTCAAGTTATATCAATGATACGTTGTATAGATATAATATTTGTTGTTACTGTATACTGGATACTGTATCATTATTTAAAGTGTCAAAAATATCATAAAAATGAATTTTTTTTTCATATTGCTAAATAAATTATTATACTTTGTTTAAAATGTTCATTTATTGATTTATTAATTGATTGATCAATCAATTTGCTATTATTGATTGATTGATCGATTGATTGATTGAATGTTTGATTGATCGATTGATTGATTGAATGTTTGATTGATTGATTGTTTGATTGATTGATTGTTTGATTGATTGTTTGATTGATTGTTTGATTGATTGTTCGATCAGTTGATTCAGCGATTGATTGACTGGTTAATTGATAGTACAGTATCAAACAGTATCTCATTGAACAGGAAACTATCATAAAATGAATAAAGATACTTTTTTTAACAATTTTAATAATATAAAATAAATAAATAAAAATACATTTAAAAAAATTCTCAATTTGATTTCATTGCGATACCGATGATGATGATTGTGACCTGACTGATTAAAAAACATCAAGAAAATTTTTAAAATAGGGTGGGTAATTCGTTGCGAAATCGTTGGAGGAAATGACGTTAAGAGTAGTTATTTAACTGCATAGTAGTGAATCAGGCGGTATAGAGGTTATATTCGATTCCTATCAAAAAATTTTAACCATATATCATGCGAACACAAAACTAAATAAAAAAAAGATGATTATATGTTGTTATATATGTATAAATTGTTATATTTATACATTAAAATTTTACAGTTGGTGTTGTGGTGCGATCACAAGTTATTTTGAATTCTTGAATTCTTTTGAAGAAAAATTTAAACTGCGTGCGTACATAGAAGATAAAATTAATTACTGTTGCTTTTATAATGATGGATTTATATAATAAATATAATGAAGTACATACAAGATGATCATGAAGTAACAACGTATCAAAGAAAGGAACCGACCGATCTTGACATTTAAAAAACTTTTTAATTTCATTTCATTGCGATGAGGATGATGATGATTGTGACCTAACCAAAAAAACACGACACGGTGATTTTTATGATTCTACAAAAACATGGCGGTACTGATGATGATTCTTCAGAAACAACATAAAAGAAAAATTGTAAATAATATGATTAACAATCCTACAAAATCCAGTCAGCCAATAAGAGAATTTAGTTTCTCTCTTCCTCTCTATCTCTCTCTCTCTCTCTCTATATATATATATATATATATATATATATATATACTGATGATACTGATGATGGTTCTTCAGAAACAACATAAAAGAAAAATTGTACATAATATGATTAACAATCCTACAAGATCCAGTCAGCCAATAAGAGAATTTAGTTTCTCTCTCCCTCTCTCTCTCTCTCTCTCTCTCTCTCTCTCTCTCTCTATATATATATATATATATATGATAATAAAAATCTATGTAATAAAATATAATAAACGTATCAAAAGTAATATGGCAGATGAAACCAGCCGATCAGAAAGTTTCGTTGGAAGGCGCTCCTTAAATTTGTTAGCATCGTTGTTAACGACTGTATATCAGAGTATTACATACATTAAATAAATTTTTACTGTTTATACTGTTTTCTACTGTTTTCTACTCTTTTTTATTCTTTTCTTTTCTATAGTTTATATAGAGTTTCGCGACTATATATGTTTGTCAGTGGTTTGTATGTTGTATTTTTTTTATATTTTAGGTGGGTTCTTTAGCGGTTGCTCATGCATACATACATACATCATGCTTGTTTGTGTGGTAGTATTTTATGTTCTGTTTGACTTCTTTTTCTCTTTCTTCATGAGTCTTAAATTAATGAAACATAGGTAGGTGAGATTAAAAATTAATTTATTATATAGGTAGGCTAGGGCATAAAGTAATTTAGTTATATAGGTAGGTTAGGAACTTATATTCTTTTACTCTAACTTGGTTGTAAGTTTTTTGTTTTGTGTTTTTTTTGTTTTGTTTCACACCATACATTCAGCAGGTACGCGGTGGTTCCTGGTTTAAGTGGGTTTTTTATTGATTGAATGTGGTAGTTTGAATGGATATATAGAGTTATATAGAGTTATAGTTATATAGGATAGATAGGTAGGAAGCATCCAACACTTATGTAGTTGAATAGGTAGGCGCGTAAGTTTATCTCCTCTATTTTTTTTGCACCCACATTACACGCATCAGCGTATTGCACACACGCACAAATACATATATAAACACATATGTTAGTATTTGAGCGTAATTTTATTTTCATCACACATTCTAATTTATTATTACTAAGGTTGAGAGTAATTTAATATCATAGGTAATTAAGGGCAATAATGTAATTCTAGAAAAAATCTTGTAATGTAAATTAAAACGCTGTAAGTATATCAATAGGTAGGTTAATTATTAAGTTTTATATCATTACTAAGTTGGAGCCAAAGGCATTACGTAGGTGGTGGGGTGGGCGCCGATTGGCTAAATGAATTGGGCTCTTGAGTTTTGTAATTTTAGGTAAGCTAGGGCTTAATTGTAATGAATAGGTAAGTTGAGGGTACGATAGCCGATAGACTCTGAATTTCGAAGTCCGTTGTCAGAGGTAAGCCTTGGTGGCCAGTGGTGAACCGGCAATGGTTTTCTATCCGGACGGCAATGGTTTACTATCTACACGGTAATAGTCTACTATCCGCACGGCAATGGTTTACTATCCGGTGCCCTGGCTATCGGTGAACCTCTGTGCAAGGAGGGAGAATGAAGGGGGACTTTTGACTATCGTACCATTAACAATTTAATATTGATTAGTTAAGGTAATTGAATAGGTAGATAGGATTATTTTTATTAAGCAATTTGAGATGCAAGCACCGCTAAGCTTTTTGATGAGAATCTTCTCTTTATCTTTCTCCATCCCATGGGCTGTGTTTCATCAACAATCTCAAGGAGGACTGGCACCAGTTTTGGGAGACAACGTACGTAGGAACCGGACCAAATTCTTCATTCTGCCTTTGTCGAATGGACGACGGTAAGTTTTTTTACATTTTACTCTCTTTATTATTTTAAGATATTATTTATTTGCCATTATTTTCATTTTCTAATTTTTTGCTTCTAAGATTTTAACATTCATTTACTACCAAGCAAAAAAAAATATTTTGTCTACAGAACAATGAGAGGTGGGCAGAGGTGGGAATCAGCACGTTTCAGATGGTGGTCTCATGATGATGATGGTGTAGGAAGAATCAGCGCGTTGGCTGTTCGACTGACACTCAGAAGTTCGGATGAAATCTAGTGTGCCGATCCGAATGTGGTGGTCGGTGCAATGGATTACAGTAACGACGATTTTTGAAGTAAGGTTTAGTTTCGTTTGTTATTTTTCTCATTCGTTCATTTTATCACTCAATCTTTCAAATTATTCTTCCATTAATTGACGTTAATTCCTTCTATTCATTCATTGAATCATTGGTTGATTAATTAATTCATTCATTCACTCATTCATTCAACCAATTATTCAATGATTCAGTTAATCATTTATTCATTCGTTCCTTTGTTCCTTAATTTACTAATACGCTATTACAGAGTGATGAAAGGTGGGTCGTGGTGGGCGTCAGCACGTTTCAGATTGTGGTCTCATGATGATCGTTCCGATGACAATTCGAAGAGGTTCGACCGTAGTGCGTGAAGAAGTTTCTGGAGAGTACACGCGCGCACATTTACACACACACACACATCAATACAACACACACATACACAACATCCATTCAGTTGGTGTCGTTGTTATGTTTCTCTTCAACTTTCTACTTTTTTTACCGGACTTAATTTAATTCATAGGTAAGTTAGGGATTGAGATAAGTTGAACAATCGTAGGTAGGCTAGGGTTTAACATTAGTTAAAAAGTTTCTAGTAAAATAAAAACGTTAATATATATAAAATAAGATACATGAAACATGTATTTTATTTTACATATTCCTAAAACCTAGAAATACAAGTTTATAGGTAGGTAGGTGAGTTGAGTTAATCATTATAGGTAAGTTAAGACCCTGAGAGTAATTTAAATTGTAAGTAGGTGACTGACTACTATTCTTGAAACTTCTTACTAATTTTTGTGATGTGTTTGTTTGTTTTCGCTTCACAGCACCACACCAACAAAACACTATATTATTTCTCGTCGCCTTAAATTTTACCTATTTGAACAATCTTTTTAATAATGTCTATTTATTTAATTGTAAAATGTTGACTGGTTTTTAGTTTTTTATTTTAGTTATATAATTTTTGGATATTTCTTGATTTACTTTGTATATATGCATGTATAAATAATTTCTGTTTTGTATGTTAATTTAGTCATTATGATATGCTGCGAACTGTTTTTACTAAATGTTAATGTTACGTGGATCATCCATCCTCCAATAACTACTAGGAGTGTTATATTTGTTTGTTTAAAAATTTACTTTTTTTAGATTTTAATTTTTCGTCATTTTTCATTTTTTGTTGATATCAAATAAAAGCCACTGTTGTGTTTTTCTTTCCTTACTAAAATCTCGAAATTGTTGTAGATATGTACGGTTGAATTGAATTGCGCTTCAGCATGCTGTGTAAATATTTTTTCGTCTATTTTTCGTTTTTTCATAATTCTTTCGTTCGTTTGGTTTATTCATTTGGTTCATTCCATTTGGTTCATTGATTAGTTGATTGATAAATTAATCGATTGGTTGATGAATTGATTGATTGATTGATCTCATACCTAATGTTAAGTATTTAGTTATGCAAATACTTAGTCAAAATTCAGTGTATAGGTAGTGAAACTGAAACCTACGGCATACATGGGCTTTCTTCTTTTGGCATATTTGGTAACTCTATTTTTGTTTATTTATAAAAAGGGACGTCACATTTGCGTTCCCCCCTTCCCTCGTCACAAAGTGTCACAAATATTTGGACCCCTCCCCCCTGGCGAAGCGGGACATCCTTTATGGACGATCCCATACTACCCACAAATATTTTAAAATACTATGCAGATTTCATTTGACACTTACCAAAGTTTATACGTTATCATCGCTATCAAATTTTTTATTTTTATTATTTCGTATACACTCACGTTACATTGCAGTAAGTTTCATAAACGTTTGCAATAGAAATATAAGAGACATTAATAATCTTTGTTAACTTTGAAGAGGAGAATAGATGATATACAAAGCCACTTTTATTTTAAAAGTAATTACATTTTAAAAAACACCAAACACCACGCAAAAGTATTTAAACACTGTCTAAAAACAGCTATTTCAATAAGTAATTCAAATACTTCTTAAATTCAGAGGTAAGTATTAAAATACTTAAATAGTATTTTAATACTATTCTTATTCTTAACACTTAACAGTGCGAAAATGCAAAAAGGAGTGACTATAGTTCAATCCTAACCAGCCAACCTGTGACTTCAGAAAGCCATTGTCATATATATAGAATATTCCATATATATGGCCGCTGTATTTCACCGGGCGAAAACAAAAAGCAATTTTTATATCTAAATCAACAAAAATAATTGTGAAATGAATATGTTGATTTATTTAAAGCTTTGTTTGTACAAAAATCCGCTTTCATACAGTTTTTTGAGACTCGATAAGCCACTGCAGTAAGCCAGGGAAGTCAAAAAGCCCGATTGAGTCTATTAGACAGACCGTAATTTTATTTAAATTTGTTTTTTAAATTCAAATTTTATCATGAAATGGTTTAAATTGTAAATAAAATAATTTAAAAAGATGGAATAAGATCAATTATTTATTTTATTTTATAAATATTTTTTAAAATGATTTTAAATGACAAAAAATTTAATCCGGATTTTTTTTCTATTTCAGCAATCCCCGGATCATCATAATTTTTTGCGTTGTAAAATAAAATTCAACTTATTTTCTAGAAAAACAAATTTTTTAAATATTTTAACATTTTATAATAATATTCAATAAAAAAGCCCAAAAAATGGTGGTTTTTCACGGCGATCCGTGCGGGATCATCTGCTTAATTATTGTCTACACGGCAGTCTTCTACGCTGACTACGTAGTCGTCCGTCACATCGTCATGCCCACCATGTCTGACAGGTTTGTCTTCTGCTGAAAGTTTAAAAATGAATTGAAATTTAAAGAAGAGTTTTTAATTATTATTTTCTTAGTTTGCTTGGTGCAGGAAATGTAATCATCTTCAACATCATCATCTTCTTCATCATCATCTCTCACATACGATCGGTGTTCTCAGACCCCGGCACTGTTCCCATTCCTAAAACTGGGATCGATTTTTCTGATCACCACGCTGGGCAACGTTTAACTAGAGTAAGTTAGATTAAGATTAAGAAAAGGTAATGAGACAGTTTGTTTGTAAAACTGTTATAATTTCAATTTAATTATAATGATCAGGACAATGGTTGGACGGTTTGCATGAAATGTGAGACCTATCGGCCCCCACGAGCACATCACTGCAGAGTTTGCAGGAGGTGCATTAAAAGAATGGACCACCATTGCCCATGGTTAGGGCTCTAATTAGTGAACTAGTTAATTAGGCAAATTGATTGATAGATGTTTGAATGTACAAACTAATCAAACGACTGAACAAATGATTATGATTGATTGATTGAATGAATGAATGAATGAATGAAATTTAAAAAAATCAGGATCAACAACTGTGTTGGTGAGTTAAACCAGAAGTTCTTCATTCAATTTCTTTTTTATGTTGGTTAGTAGTGCTAATAATGATTATTTCATTCATTTCACTCATTCATGCACTCATTCATTCACTGATTGATTGATTCATTCATTCATTGATACACTCCTGCAATTTCTCATTAGCTCATTCTTGTTCACTTCTTTAATCTCTCATTTTTCATTCACTCATTCATCCATTTTTTCTCTCATTCACTCACTCATTCATTCGTTCATTCAGGCATAGCATGCTTCTACTCGGTCAGTTTGGTGGTAGCTTCATGGATGATTGGGCCCGTGGACAAGCTAGCCGAGGCTGGGCTACACCAAACTCGCATGTTATTATTATTATTTATTATTATTATTATTATTATTTTTAGTAGTATTATTATTGTTATTGTTGTTATTATTTCTCCAGAATTCATTCCAGCATATTGGTCATTGAGTGCATATTGTTTGGACTGTTTGTTGTGGCTATTGGTTGTGATCAGGTTTGTTGGTCAGTTGGCTGGTTTGTTGATCAATTGCTTGATTGAATGATACATTGGATGGCTGGTTGACTCTGTAACTGATGGTTTTATTGATTGTATATATAATTTAACTGATCTATCACCAAATTGATCATTCAAATAACCCATCAATTAACTACCATATCAGTCACTTAACGAACCAACCAGTCAACCAACCAACCAGCCAATCAACCAACCAATCAACCAACTAACCAATCAACTAACCAACCAATCAACCAATCAGCTGCAGGCAATACTAAATGACGAAACGGCCGTCGAATACGTGAAGAGGCAGGGCAAACACCACAGGGGTTACGTAAATAAGTGGTCCCTATTGGCTGAAGTTTTTGGAGATGGTAAGTTTGTGTGTGTGTGTGTGTGTGTGTGTGTGTGTGTGTGTGTGGACAAATTATCATCCCCACTAAATGTATTTAGGCCTTCACAAATAATAACTGAGGGATCTTTACAAAGAATTACAGATCCTTACTAAATTAACATCATCATCATTAACATAATTAATTTAATTTAGGCTCACCAATGCTCTGGTTGTGTCCGTTCACGGCTTCATCATCGTCGTCGTCACCATCAACAGTCGAAGAGTTTATCATCTAAATTGTGATGATTGTGATGATGGCGATGATGATTGTGATGCTGATGATGATGGCAATTAAAATTGTGATGAGGATGATGATAATGATACTGAAATGTGATCAGTTGATATTACTTTGTGGATTTATTTTCATGCTCCAGGTAGCATTACAATTGTAAAACCTCATTTTACTTCTTATCTATTCATTCAATTGTTCGATCGATCGTTCAATCATCCTTCTGTTCATGTGTTTTATTTGTTCATCTTTCATTCATTCACTATCTCATCATCATCAACGTAGTCATCGTCATCATCATCGTCATCTTTATAATTATTGTTAATGTTGTCATGGCTTGCACAATCGCATACGCTTAAACATTTGTGTATATTGTGTGTATGCATGTATGTTTGTTTGTATGTTCTATGTATTATGTATGTATTTATTTGTGTATGTATGTATGTATGTATGTATGAGTGTGTGTGTGTGAGTTAGTGTGTGTGTGCGTGTGTTTGTTTGTATGTATGTATGTACGTATGTGTATGTATTTTTAATTTTGCAGAAACATTTGCTTGCACGTTTGATTTTTGTTTCGTGACGTGATTTTTTCTACATACGTACATTTTTTCACTTTTTTCTACCGGGTTGTTAATTATAGTTTGGCATTATTATTATTATTATTATTATTATTATTATTATTATTATTATTATTATTGATGTTATTATTATTATTGGTATTATTATTATATAATAATAATAATCTTCGTTTACTTGGGAAAAATATACGATTACGAAGGTTGCAATGCTGAAGCCAAAAAACGTCTGATTGACAAACTTAAACACATGCTGTCTATTATAAATAAATTAAATACTACACCACAATGGAAACTGCAGATAGTTTGCAGATATATCCCATCGCAGGTGGCTTTCGAACTCCGCACCTATGATTTTCCGTTGGCATGGATTGAGAACAGTTTGGACCCTTTGATCGCCGAATCAATAAGAGACTGGTTATCTTTGCCAGTCAGTAGCTGTGTGTCGGAATACACTTCGCTCCCTTACAAATTAGGGGGATTAAATGTGAGATCGCTCAAACATTACACTGAAGCGTTGAGGGTTAAACTCCGCAACTACATGAAATCGCTCATCAACAACGAAATAAATTGTTTGTGGATGGGATCTCACAACAGCTACATCAAAGTCGACAAAATTCTGCCGAATTCAACTGACATAAAGCCGACACTTTCAAAGCTATCGACAGTCCAGCAGGACGTTGGTCTCGCACATCTGTCCTCACTGAAATGCCAAGGAACGATTCTCAAGTCAATCAAAGATCATATTTCGGCAACAAATATTTCTCGATGGTCGAAATTCACTGCCAATCTGCCGGAGATTCTGTTCAAATTCGTCAGGAAAGCACAAATTCAACAGCTTCCGACAAATGCAAATCTCTCCAGATGGGGTAAGTCCTCGAATGATCTGTGTCCCCTCTGCAACGCATTGCAGACCAACAAGCACGTGGTGTCTAACTGCGGTTCCATTGCGGCTTTAAAAAGATACACAACACGTCACAACAAAATACTGTCCTTGATTTTGGAAACGATTAGATCGGTTGCAAAACCAGATGTTACAATTTATGCCGATACGACCAGCGATGAATTCACTCCAGTATCGTCCCTTTTCAAATCATCTTGGCCGGACATAGCACTCCATCGTGGTGACACCATCGAAATACTGGAGCTGACAGTCTGCCACGAATCCAACTTCAACACATCAAGGAACTACAAGATATCTAAATACCAAAACATCCACAACAATCTGGTTGACGAGAAGAAAGCAAAAACAATTATTATTAACACATTTGAAATCTCTCCACTAGGCTTTTTTAATCATTTTAAATTATCTCTTGTAAATTTTGTTTGGACTGAACAATTATGCTACGATTTAACTAATTCAGTAATATCATCATCATACGCCATCTATTGCGATAGACATTCAAATGTACAATAACTATATTAAGGCGACGTCGCCGTCTTCGTCATCGTCATCATCATTTTAATCATCGTCGTCGTCATCATCATCATTATCAGCGTCATAATCGTCGTCATCATCGTCCTCATCGTCATCGTTTCTTTATCATCATCACCATTTGCGTCATCATCATCATCATCATGATATATATAACTTCTTTCCAATGTCATCATCATCATCATTATTATTAGTATCATTATTATTGTTATTATCATTATGACTATCTCTTGTAAATTTTATTTGGACTGAACAATTATGTTACGATTTAACTAATTCAGTAATATCATCATCGTACGCCATCTATTGCGACAGACATTCAAATGTATAATAACTATATTAAACTGATTACATTTCTCGTACGCATTTTATATCTATAATGGCGAGCATCGTAGACTACTTTCTCATTTTAATTCATTTTATTTTATTTCATTGAATATTTATTTCGCCCCTTTTTTGGAAAAAATAAAAGAGTTCCCATTGTTATTATTATTGGTATTATTATTATTATTATTATTGCGCATTATTTAATTAACATTAACCTATATATATATATATTTTTATCATTGTATGTTTTTTATGGTGAAAAAAAAGATGTTCCCATTGGTATTTTATTATTGATATTTTGCATACATACATACAATGAAAGAATGCTTGAATGAACGAAACTAATGATCGAATGAGTAACGAATGTACGAATAAATGGATGAATGAACGAACGAATGAATAAATGAAAGAATGATTGAATGAATAATTAGATGCAATGTTTATTTACTAATTTTAATAATGATGACTGAAGTTTTGTTGTTTCAGAGAAATTTGCCAGTGAATTATTCAAAATTATTTTTACTAACGTAACAACAACAATAATAATAATAAATTATTATCATATTATTATTGTTATTTGCTTTCAGATTAGTTAGATGTCAACGCCATTATTGATTTTTTTTCACTTACTCATTAGTATGTCGTAAAAAGTTAATAATTCTTTGTACTCGTTAGTATTTTTTTGTTTATTTAGTTTCAACGTTGTTTATATATATATGTATGTATATATATATATATATATATATATATGTATGTATATATATATATATATATATATGTATATATATATATATATAATATTGTATGAAGAGAGAGAGAGGGAGAGGTAACAAGGGTGACAGTGATGATATGAATTTGGTCCTCTAGGCAAATTCAGCAGAATTCATACAAAATTGTATAAAATATGGCACCCTCCCAACATATATATATATATATATATATATATATATATGTATAAATATATATATATGTATATATATATATATATATATATATATATATATAACATATTGACATGTGCTGTATATGTTGTGTTTGTTTTGCTATTATCAATAGATTGATAAATTTAGATGTCTATGTTTATTTATTTTCATTAAATAATTTATTTATTTATTTTTTGATATTGTATTTATTCATTTAAATTAATAACTAAATTGAGACGTGTTTATATAATTAGCGCGTTTGATTTCATTTCAATTTGATTTTTGTTTTGTATAATTATGTTTGCGTTTGTGTTGGTGTGCGTGCGTGTGTGTTTTTTTGATTTTTATAGGGCAAATCTTTTTCAATTCTTCCATTTTTTTAGAGTTTGTAGGTCATTAATTCCAATTCTATTTTTGTTGATTTTAGTTACTGGAAGCTTTTATTCATTTTTTGTTAGCTTGCAACCATAATTTAATTTAATTTATTTCTTTTTTTCAATAATTAATTATTTATTTGTTTATTTAATTTATTCATTTTTTTGTCGTCATTCTCACTATAATTAAATCAAAAATGAACAGATTGAGAATTAAAATCAATCCAATAATGTGAAATTTAACTTTAATTGGTTAATATATCCATAAATTATTTTATTATATAGCAAAGAACAAATAAAAAAATAAAATCACCTTAATTTTTTTTAGCTTTCAATGTTATTTGATCTTTGCAATCAGTTGCTTGGCAACAAGCATCTGTAAACAAAAAAAAATTTAAAAGGAAATTTATGTAAAAATAATTTGTAATTGTTTATGATATGATTATTTCGACGTGAATTGCTCAATAGTTAATTTAATTAATTTATTTATTTTCGATTAAATTATTTTTCTTATTTTACATCTGAAAGTAAAGAGAAGAAAAATGAAAGTTTGAATGGCCAACCCAATTTCAATAACTTTTTCTGTCAAATTCCACTATAATAAAAAATAACAATGATTTAACTTTATTTTGGATTATATTTTAAATTAACACAATATTTATTAATATTTTGTCAATTTATTTTTAAAATCATTTTTTCTAATTTTTTGAAGAAAATTTTCACAATTTCGCCAAAAAGACCTGAAAGGGAGGCCATCTATTTTAGTTGGCAGAAGTGCTACGGAAATTACATCGCCACAAATAGGTAATAATAATAATAATAACAATAATATTAATATTTATATTTAATAATTAACAATTATAACAGTAATAATATTTTTTATAACACTAAAATTGCAACACACAGTGCAGACAGCTGTGTTCAGATTCATAACAAAAGGGGGGATCTTGTAGAAGAGCTTAATATGCCAGGGTTAGGCAGTTAGTGCATACACCCACACAAACACACACATACACACACACACACACCCATACTACAACTCCACTACAGTATATGTACAGGATTTGCCTGGATGAAGGATGGCAGCATATTGAGTCTCATAAACAACAAAAATGGCGTTATTTGGTTGTGGAGTGCCAGTAAAAATGACGTCACGTTTGTCGAAAGTGGCTTTAGGTTTTGTTTGTTGGATTGTTGTTACCGTTGTGTGTGTGTTTGTGTGTGTATGTGTGTGCCAGAAAGTTTGTATGTTTGACTATAAAAACAAACGCGAAACACACAAACATATAAACATGTATCTATCTAATCTACACACGTGCATGAACATGCAGACACAAGCAACCGCCTAGACGACAAACACACAAACAAACAAACTCATACATACACACTCTCACACACTGCATACAAACACACAGAGATAAAGACACACTGACATTTTCACTATGGTCCAAAATCAGCCAACATTTAGCGGTTGGAACTTTGAAAGGAAACCTTTTAATCTATAACCACCAAACTACCAAGTGAATATTTTTGGGAATTTCTCCTGTTAAAATTTAGTTGAAGTGTCTCTGTCTTCTGTATCGCGTACCAACATAAACCCACACATGCGTACGTAAACCCACGCACCCCACAACGACACAAACACACAAAAATTAAAACAGGAAAATCCCAATTTTGGGAAAACACACCAAGCGGATAGTAACGGGAGCGTGGAACAAGGAAAATATCCTGGCTCTAGGAGGGGATGATAAGGTCCTGACCGTCTCGAACACGGACGGAGACACGATAAATAGTGTGGCCGTCGATGGGGAAATCAGGGATGTGCAATTTTCCTCCATGAAAAGGGATGAGAGAGTTGATGCTGAAAATACGGTTGGTCGGTTGGTTGGCCGGCTGGTTGTTTTATTTGGATTAGATGGATTTTGATGGCAGGCTGGTTGGATAAGTTTGTTTTGATCAGTTGGTTGGTTAGTTGGATAAGTTTGTTTTGATCATCTGGTTGGTTGGTTGACAAGTTTGTTTTGATCAGTTGGTTGGTTAGTTGGATAAGTTTGTTTTGATCATCTGGCTGGCTGGTTGGATAAGTTTGTTTTGATCATCTGGTTGGTTAGTTGGATAAGTTTGTTTCGATTGGTTGGATAAGTTTATTTTGGTCGTCTGGTTGGTTGGATAAGTTTGTTTTGATCGGCTGGCTTGCTAGCTGATTGATAAGAGAAATTTAAGCACGATATGAATCTAATAATGCTAATAATAGTAATTATTATGATCATAAAAAGGTAGAAAAAAAAACAAATTTTGATACCTTTTGAAGGTGAGCTTAGTGAAGAATCGCAAGTCTTTGTACCTTTACGATATTACAGACGCCCATCAACCTCTGGAGATAAAATTCAAAGACAGTTACGGCGACATTGTTGCTTACAATTGGTTCGTTGTTGATGATGATGATGTTGTTGTTGTTGATGTTGATGATGACGATGATGTTGTTGTTGAGGATGATGATGTTGTTGTTGTTGAGGATGATGATGATGTTGTTGATGTTGTTGTTGTTGTTGTTGATGATGACGATGATGTTGTTGTTGAGGATGATGATGATATTGTTGATGTTGTTGTTGTTGATGATGACGATGATGTTGTTGTTGAGGATGATGATGATGTTGTTGATGTTGTTGTTGTTGATGATGTTGTTGTTGTTGTTGTTGAGGATGTTGTTGTACGAGTAAGTTATTTTACCGTCATCTTCATCGTTATCATCATCATCTTCTTCTTCTTCATCACCATCATCACCATCATCATCTCCTTCATCATCACCACCACCATCATCGCCATCATCAAAGGCATGGTGACGGGTACATCATAATGGGCTTCAGCAATGGCTTCTTCATCATCGTCTCGTCTCATTACAAAGAGATCGGACAAGTGAGTAACAACAACAATTACAACACCAACAACAACTATTACAACAACAACAACAAAATCAACAACAGCATCTACAACAACATCAACAACTACAACATCAACAACATCAACAACAATAATAATAATAATTAATATTAATCATCGTCGTCGTCATCGTTATCAGGAGATATGTCAGGTCCGTGATTTCCGGGATTACCTCAGCTTCATTTCCGTTTCCTCGTCCATCAACATCATTGCCACGGCAGGTGATGATAGGTGAGTTATGATGACGATGATAGTGATGTGAGATGATGATGATGGTGATCGTATTGATGATGATGTGATGTGAAATTTCAATAAAAATGACTATTCTATATCGATTACGTTGTTGTTGATGATAATAATAAAGATGATGACGACGACGATAATGATGATGATGACGTCATCAACAACCATCATCATCATCATCGTATTTACCACCCCACCCTCCCCCTGCCCCTCCACACAGCGTCAAGCTTCACGAAACAAACGACCCCAAACAGACGGCATCGATCATTCAAATCGCCGACCAATCAAAACTCGAGCGCATAAAGTGGTCGGACGACGGCCAGCTGCTGGCGGTTTCGTCATCATCGCCGACACCGCGAGTGCACGTGTACTTAGCGAGTGTGCCCGTACTTGGCGCGTGCTTTCGTACTACTGTGGCACACTTGACTTCTCTGAGAGAAATAACCTTGGAGAATCCGGCTGACGGGGTGGCTGGGTCTGGGGTAGTTTGAGGGGGTTTTGGGGGCTGGGTTTGTGATTCAGTGGAATGTGATGATGATTAATTACTCTGATCATCATCTTCTTCCTCTTCACCATCATCTACATCATCATCTACATCATCTTCATCGTCATCATAATTGTCTTCATCATCATCATAATCATAATCAGGGTCAGTCGCGAACGTACATGGTGGAAGTGGAACCGTCCTTCATTGGACTGGGAGCAAATCATTTGGCAGTCGGGATGAACAACACTGTCCTGTTCTACGGCTTCAAGAAGAATGGTCACGACGATGATGATGGTGACGATGATGATGATGATGACGATGATGTGGGTGATGATGACGATGATGGCGATGATGATTACAACAACAAGTACAAACGAACACGACAGCTTTAGTAAAAGTAGAAGAGAAAGAATACCTATCAAGCATTCAATCCATCAAACTGAACGACAAGTATGTCTCCGCCCACTCCGATGGCAAACTCGTCCTCTCATTGGTCAGTTCATTTTTTTCTATTGACGTCCAAACTATGATTGACTGCCCTGTTTCACAAATTTCTTGTCGGTATTTATAACGAGTTTTGTATTTTCGACAATTTAACTTTTTTTTATTCAAGCGTTGTCATCATCACGTAAGTCTAGTTTGATGTACGTTCTATAGATTGAAAACAGTGACGACGATGACGTCATCATCAACAACAGCAACAAACAAAAAAAAGACATGATGACGTTTCCACAGCAGCAGCAGCAACAACAACAACAGCAGCAGCAACAACAACAGGCAAAAATTACAAGTCACCATTTAACGACAGATTTTCTAATATATACGACTGACGTTAGTGTGGCTGTTTCTATTTTACCGCTACTACTACCACTACTCCTGCAGCTACTGCTACTGCTACTACTTCTACTTCTATTATTACTACTACTACTAACAATAATAATGAAAGTTGGAAAAAACAAAAAACTAAATAGAAAGGTACCATCAACTATTTTCACCTGGCTGATTGGTGCCCTATTTTGGAGTACCACCATATTTGTCACGTGACCAAGAGCCAACCAGATGTTTCCGGTGGTAGGGTTGTGCTGGTTGACGAAAAGGGCGATTGTGCGCTATATCATGCGGTAGGTTTTTATCTGTTTGTTTGCAATTTATTTATTTGTTAATTTATGTGTTGATTTGTTCATTCATTCTTCATTCGTTTGTTCGTTCGTTTGCTCATTTGTTCATTCATTCATTTATTTATTCATTCATTCGTTCGTTCGTTTGTTCGTTCGTTCGTCCATCCATGCAGTTCTTCGATAGCATCCTACCGATCCATGATACGCCGCAGAAAGTTGCTGGAGTGCTCTGGGATGAATGGTCGCATGATAAGGTTCTGATGACGACGACGATGCTGATGATATAATGATGATATAATGATGATATAATGATTATAATCCTACTACTCATCTTAGAACATCTTCATAATATACGATCGTGACAGCATACATACGTACTGCCACCTGAGAGAGACACTGAAAGGTTTGTCTTTCTTTTTCTCACTCACTCACTCACTCACTCACTCACTCACTCACTCACTCACTCACTCACTCACTCACTCACTCACTCACTCACTCACTCACTCACTCACTCACTCACTCACTCACTCATTCACTCACTCATTTGTTCATTCATTCATTAGTTCATTCATTCTTTCATTCATTCTTTCATTCATTCTTTCATTCATTCATCATCATCATTTCGCGAATTATCATATTAAATTTTGGCAATAGTTTTATCATCGTCATCATCATCATTTCATCATCATTTCATCATCATCACCATCACTAACATCATCATCAGGACCTCAGGTAATTTTGGCGGGAACGACAAAACTTCCATACAACCACCAACCAATTTTACTCTTGGCGGGAAATCTAACCTTGTTAACTCCTTCCGGTTCGACTACTGACCTTTACCTATCATCTCACCCAAATTACAACAACAACAATAATAATATTATTCATAATAATCATAATAATAATTATAATTATGGCGGTTTCGGTGATGGTGGCGGTACCAGTTTTGGCGGGAGAAAGAGTAAAAAGAGGATGATGATGATGATGAATAACGGCGATGATGATGATAATGATGATGATAGGGATGATGTTGATGAGGTTGGTAGTGCTTTTATTATTATTCTCTTCTTCCTCCTCCTCTTCTTTCTCTTCTTCTTCTTTTCTTCTTCTTCTTCTTCTTCTTCCTATTAGTTTATAATTGAAGGTATTTTTTCTTATTCAGCTTAAGACCAACTTTAGAAAATCTCTAACGCTGGCAAGGTTAATAATAATGGTATTCATTAATTAATAATAATTAATAATTATAGTAATAATTATAGTAATAATTAGAATAATAATAATAACGACGATTATGATGATGATATTCAGGTTTTCAGAAGCCTATTTTGCTTGCCAGCTACTGAACAATTCAGAAATGTGGGAGGAGTTAGCCAGGAGTGCAATCAACTCATTGGATGTCGAGATTGGTCAGTTCAAAGTGCTCTATTTTGATTGGCTGTTTAATTTTGTGTATTAATTTCATTGATCGCCAATAATAGTTAATTGTTTGAAATTGCTGCGATTTCATTGGTTTATTAATCAGGTTGTTTACATCTTTTACAACTTCATTGGCTAATTGATCAAATTATTTAAATTTGCCGTGATTTTTTGGCTAATTAATCGAATTACTTCAAATTGCAGAAATTTTATTGGCTAATTGATCAAACTGTTTAAATTTGATTGGTTGATAATAATTTAAAAATTTTTTTCGAAGCAATGAAAGCTTGTCAAGCTGAAGGGAACATCGGCAATGCACTGGCTCTCCAGAATTTGTTGGTGAGTTGTTGATTATGACGTCATCATCTTCGTCATCATACCTTCACCATCTTTGTCATCATACCACCACCATCTCTACCATTTTTACCATCAACGTCGTCATACCATCACCCTCTTCATCATCGCCATCATCGTCGTCGTCGTCGTCATCACTAGTTGATGGAAGATAAGCAGTTGCTGACCGGCTACTTGTGCATGCTCATTGGGGATTTCGACGCTGCCCAAGAAATGTTCATCCACTCTGTCAGACCAATGGCTGCTCTGGAGGTGGTTGTGTGTTGTATGATGGGGACGTGATGGTGAAGATGATGACGTCATCAATATCATCAACAACGTCAACAGTATATGCTAACCAACTTACCAAACATTTGACCGATTAATCGACTGACCAACCAGCCAACCGGGCAATCAATCACTCAGCCAGCTAGCCAATCAGCTTATATATCAACCATTCAACCAACCAACCAACCAATCAGATGAGACGTGACCTGATGCACTGGGACCAGGCCCTCGAACTATCGAAGAGTTTGGACCAAGGACAGCTGCACCTGATATCGAAAGAGTACGCTCAGCAACTGGAGTTTGTTGGCGATTATGCCAACTCACTCAAACACTACCAGCAGGTAATGATGATGATCTGGTAATTATGGTGACGATAATGATGATGGTTATGATGATAATGATGATAATATTGCTGCTGTTGCTGCTGCTGATGATGATAAAGATGATGGTGATGACGATAAGGGTAGCGAATACGCGAGGGTTATGAGAATGATAATGGTTAAAACGATCACAATCATCATCACCATCATCGTCGTCGTCGTCTTCATCGTCAGGGTATCACGAAGGATCCAGAGCAGCAGGAGCATGACGAGGCCTGCAGGGCTGGAGTGGCTAGGATGATGATAAGGAATGGTGATATCAATAAGTTAGTGAGTCAATGATGATGATGATGATGATAACGATGATGATGATGATTGTTTTAGTGGTGGTGATGATGAGGAGGTAAACGACGATGATGGTAGTGATATTCAAAACGATGATGATGTTGGTGTTGGTGAAAATAGTGCTTATTGTCATTTTTTTTTCTTTATAATTTTATCATTGCCATCGTCGCCATCTTCTTCATCATCATCTTCACCATCATCATCTTCACCATCATCATCACCATCTTTCTCCTCATCATCATCATCTTCTTCTTCACCATCATCACCATCACCATCAGAGGCATGACCGTAGCCATTAAGATGGGCTCGAAAAATGTTCTGAAAGAATGTGCTATAATACTGGAGAGTATGAAGGTAATGCTGATGATGATTCAACTCAAAAAAATCTTTCATTCAGTAAAATACATTACAAGGGAGACCCGAGGTTTTCATTTATTGGGCCACCCTATCAAGATATTTTAAGAAGAACATGAACACAAGAAAAACTTGATGTAGATTGAACAAAACGAATAACAAAAAAACTCAAAAAAACAAAAACTGCAATAGTTAAATAGTAAAAATTGAAAAATGATCGTTCAAAATTAACTTAAAGACAAATTTCTTGAAAGAACTAAGCGAAGGCAAATATTTCCCTTCTCTTGGTAACGAGTCCCATGAACGAACTGAAACAGAAAAAAACAGAATTTCAGAAAAAGTTTGTACATTACCTGTGAAAATAAAAGTCGGGAGGATTATTTCGCAAAACAATTGAACGATTATTAATTAGGTGACTTATTTGATCACAAAGAGATGGGCGATACGATGGTTTGAACAGTTTATAAAAAAACAACAGAGTGAACAAAGTAGGTAATTGAGTGACTTTTAAGATATTTGCTAGCGTAGAAAAGTGACTAATATGATGAGATCTAGAAACATTAAATAAAATTCGCAAGAAAGAGTTTTGGCATAAATGTAAAATATGAATACTAGATTTCGGGCTGAAACCCCATGTAGAAACACAATAAGATAAGGACAGCAGGACAATGGAGTTGTATAAGGTATTCAATGTAAAATTAGGAAAATTAGCTCTTAAATGATAAATTAAGTCTAAATTCTTGTTAATTTTTTCGAAATATATTGAATATGTTCAAGCCACGATAAATTACTCGAAATAAAAACGCCAAGAAATTTAATTGAGTGAACCCTGTCAATGCTATAATCAATTGACAAAATCTTAATATCCAAGATTCCAGTACGGATCTTGGGTCTAGATAGAATGATGATGATTGCTGAGTTATTATTATTATTATTAGTAGTAGTAGTGGTGGTGGTAGAAGTAGTAGCAGCAGTAGTGGTAGAAGTAGTAGCAGTAGTAATAATAGTCTTATATATATCATTAAAACCGTCATCATCAACAACAACTTGACCATCATTAAATAGTTATCACCATCATTAAATAACCCTACCATCACCACCGTAATCATCATCACCACCGAATCATTACCACCATCATCGTCGTCGTCGTCATCATCATCAGCAATACTCGGAGTCTGGAAGTCTTTTTGAGAGAGCTTGCCTGTACGATAGAGCCGCTACCGTTTACATCAAGGCGAAGAACTGGTACTGATGATGATGATGATGGTGATGATGACGGTGATGATGATGATATTGGTGATGACGATGATAGTGATGGAGTTATTTATGATGATGATGGTGGTAATGATGATGGGTTTTTTTTATAACTGCTAATTCTAAAATCCGAAGCAATTGATGCAACCTAGAGATGGCACACCGCGAGATCTAATTAAAGCCGTAATCATGCAATTAGGTCAAAGGTCGGGGAAATTCGACCTCAGGTGACCTTGACGAAAGTTCACTCGCAGTACGCCAGGGCTCGAGAGGCAGGGGGCAGTTTCAAAGAGGCTGCCAGGGCCTATGAAGATGCTAAAGATTGGTGCAATGCCATAAGGTTTTGACGATTCTGCAGCTGTGGCTGCTGCTGCTGTTGATGGTGATGATGATGATTAAGGTGATGATGATGATGATGAAGGCGATGGTGATGATGATGATGATTAAGGTGATGGTGATGATAATGAGGAAGGTGATGGTGATGATGACGACGGGGAGGGTGGTGCTGTTTTTGTTATTGATATAACTTGTTTCTAATCACTGTCCATCAACAACATCATCATCATTATTATAACCATAATCATGATCATCACCACCACCACCATTATCACCACCACCACCATCATCATCTAGAATGAATTTAGAACATTTGAAAAACCCGGAAGAGGCGATTAGGATCGTGAAGATGAGCAACTCATTGGAAGGCGCCAAAATGGTTTCCAAGTACGTGATGATGACGATGATGATGATTGCAATGACGATGATGATGATGATGATGGTGATGACGATGGTGATGATGATAGTGATGACGATGATGATGATTGTGGCGTCATCACCATCATTTTCCCGCCAGGTTTTTCGAGAACCTCAAAGATTATTCCACAGCCATTCAGTTTCTAGTTCTCTCCAAATGCAACGACGACGCGTTCCGATTGGCTCAGAAGCACGGTCACATGACTAAATACGCCGATATTATTGGTAGGTTAATTTTAGGGTGAATTTATGTTAATTGCTTGTTGATTGATGATTGATTGATTGATTGATTGACTGGTCAGTTATTTGGTTGGTTGGTTGCTTGCTGATTTGATTTCATTGGTTTAATTTTATGTTCATCATTATCATAGCCTTAAATTGATATCATCGTCGTCGTCATCATCATTACCATGACCATCCAGGTGATGACGCCAAGCAGGACGACTACAAAAGCATAGCCGTCCATTTTGAAAATGAAAATAATCATTTCTTGGCGGGAAAGTTCTACTTTTTGGCGGGTTATTACAACAAGGTTGTGATGATGACGATGGATGAGATCTTCACATCAACGCATTACTATTCACTTAATTTCTAATCCCTAATCAGGCAATCAATCACTTACTGGACCCCTCCCTTAAATCACGTGACGACGCAATCAACATGGCGGTCGATGTGGCCGGTCAATCTAATGACCAACAAATTTTTAAGCGCCTTATTGGCTATTTAATGGGTGACCAAGACGACGAACCTAAGGTTAATGACGATGATGATGTTGTTGTTGACGACGATGATGTTGTTGTTGAGGATAAATATGATAATTATGTTGATGTGAATTAGGATCATAATCATAACTATCGACTTCACCAACATCATCATCGTCGTAATCGTCATCATCACCTTCCCAATCATCATCATCATCAGGATCCTAAATTCCTTTTCCGGTTGTACATGGTGCAGAAAAAATACAAAGAAGCTTCGAGTATCGCTATCATCATAGCAAGGGAGGAGCAAAATAATGGTACGTAGGCTCTTATTGACTGAAAATTTTAACCAATCAAACAACAACTCAATCACTAAATTAACCAATCAATTAACTAGTCATCATTCACTAAGTTAACCATCAGTCAATCAATTGATCGATCAATCAATCAATCAATCAATCGACCGTTCAACCAATCAGGTAGTTACAGGACCGCCCACACACTTTTGTTTGACATGTCCAATGAACTGAGGAAAAATAAATTGAGAGTTCCACAAGAAATGCTCCACAATCTCATGCTCCTTCATAGCTACATACTCGTTAAGGTTGTTTGGTAAGGGTCAGGGTTGGGGTTATTCGTTTCTATATTCATTCATTCATTCGTTCGTTCATTTATTCATTCGTTCATTTATTCATTCGTTCATTCATTCATTTGTTCTTTCATTCATTTGTTCTTTCATTAAATAGTTCGTTTTTTTTGTTTGTTCATTCATTAATCCACTAGTTCGTTCGTTTGTTCGTCATTCGTTTGTTTGTTCATTCATTCACTCATTCATTCACTCATTCATTCAATCAGATATTGATAAAGATGGGCGATCATTTGAAAGCTGCCAGGATGCTCATCAGAGTAGCCAATAACATCTCCAAATTCCCGTCACGTGAGTTATAATAATAATAATAATCATAATAATAATCATGACGAATAATTATAATGACGATGATGATGGTAATTAGATTAGCACCGAATAGTAAATTCAGTCTGGCCGAAGACAGACAAACAGACAAACAAAAATAGACAAACAGTCAAACAAAGAGACAAACAAACGAACAAAAATATCCGAAACAGACGTGGTACCTATATTGACCTCGACCATAATTGAGTGTCAAAGGTCAGGGCTCAAGTTGAGTGCATTTACGTACGCTTCTATGCTCATGAGGCCGGACTATAGAGATAAGTTGGATCCCAAGTATAAAAAGAAGATTGAAGGTATTGTAAGGTGGGTATTAGTCTCTCTGTATATGTGCATGTACGTGTGTGTATGTGTGTATTTTATATTCATCACCGCCCACTATTGTTATCAGTAATGGCTTAGTTATTATCATAGGTTTCTGTCTTCTTATCTTACCTTATCTTCATCTTCACCGTAATTATCATCATCATCATCATCATCATCATATTCGTAATCATCATCATCATCATCATCGTCATCATCATATTCTTAATCATCGCCATCGTCATCAGGAAGCCAGAGAAAATAGAGTTGGACCCGCAGCTATCCGAATGTCCGTTTTGCGGTTTCAACTTGTCCGAGACCGAGCTGACGTGCAGCGCCTGCAAGAACAATATACCGTTTTGCATCGCTTCTGTGAGTACTGATGACGATGATGATGGTGGTAATGATGACGAAGAAGAAGATGATGATGATGATGGTGGTGGCCGGTGGTTGTACTTTGAAATGATAAAAAATTTAACTGATCGTTATCTCTTTATTTCTTCAACGTCGTTATCACATACTGTATATCCATGTTTATATCATTACCGTGATCATCAACGTTGCCACCATCTTTGTCATCATCATTATCATCATCACCTCCATCGTCATCATCATCACCACCTCCATCGTCATCATCATCACCACCTCCATCATCATCATCACCACCTCCATCATCATCATCATCATCATGACCAGGGCCATCACGTGGTTAAAGATCAGACGACAGTGTGTCCTTCTTGTAATTTTCCCGCCATCATTGAGGAACTACTCAGGTTGTGATGATGGGGACGGTGATGATGATTATCATTTATTATTACTATTTATTGTTATAATTAATCGTTATTATTATTATTATTAATTATGGTTATAATTAAAATTAACAGGGTATTAAAGTCTGAAGATTCAGCCTGTCCAATGTGCGGCGATAAGGTTGATCCCTTGGACGTGCAGAAACCAATGGAGATGAACAAGATTCTGCAATTTTTAGAAACTGATTGATTGATTGGTTGATTGATTGGCTGGGTGATTGGTTGGTTGTTTAGTTGGTTGTTTAGCTGGTTGGTTGGTTGATTGACTAGATTGATCTACTAGACGAGCAAAAAACCTCTTCAGATGAATAAGATATTGTATTTTTTTAAAAGATGGTTGATTGATTGATTGATTGATTGGTTGATTAGTTGACTGGCTGGTTGGTTAGTTGGTTAGGTACATGATTGATTGATTGGTTAGGTTGGCTGATGGATTGATTGATTGCTTAAATGGACGGATTGATTGATCTATATGTCAAAAACCAATTGAGAAGATTGAGATACTGCAATCTCCAGAAGCTGGTGATTGTACTGACGATGATGATTGATGATGATGATTGTAGTGATGAAATTTTGGTAAAATTAACAATTTTTTCATATAATTAGTACATTTGTGTGCAGCAAATGCAACCGAGTTTTGCCAGTTTTGTTATAAATTTGAAT